CAGGGAAGATTGTACTGGGCCCGTCCGCCCGATTAGAATACAGACTCGTAGTGTCCCCAATTTTAATTGGGCTAAAGCTTTTGTGATAGGCTGATAGCACTCTTGAGGGCCACTTAAGTATGAAATTTGCCCCTATTATGATCTGAAGAAAGCGTAGCCAGTGAGCTACAAGTAACCCCTTCGAGATTCGCCAATAACACACAAGACACATCATCAATTGGCTCCAATCTGACAGGTTGAACGTTTGAACTGCATGGTGATTAGTGAGGCAGATGCTTACATGTATTCTTTCACCATCAAGTCCAAGGTCTTCAATAACTAGATGGAAGATCACTAGATCTGGTGTGCATAAATCAAATAGCTTCCACTACTTATGATGTGATACTATACATATTTAATTGATCATTTTTGCGTCTCTAGCTTGCCACAACACCATTACTTTGATAGTTTTTTTTTTTTACTTTCCATATTATTTTTTCTTTTTCATGTATGAACTACCTTTTTAATATAAAAATTAGGATATAAATGCATGATTAGTTGTTCAGCACTATATTCTGCACATTAGCCCACAAATTAAAGATTACGAAAATAAAGCACAATTTTTCATAAGTATTCTATATTTATTTTTCTTTTAGATGATTCAAGAAAGCAATTTATTGGTCCATAACTACAGTCACACTCTTACACAACAAAACACAGCCTAAAAGTGATTCAAAGAAAGACGAAGATAAATAGCATACCAGTAATAATTCTGCGGGGCCCCAATTCTCTCGCAGCATCCAAAAGCCTCGACAATGCATCTGGTGTATGGGCATAGTCCACAACCACAGCAAACGCTTGCTCCTCATCTATCAACTCAAACCTCCCAGGAACACCATCCACTTCCTCAATCCCTCTCACTATGTCCTCCAATGGTGCCCCAACTGCAATCCCAACTGCAACCGCTGCAAGAATGTTATATATGTTATGTCTCCCAAGCAACCCAGAAGATATCTCGAGAATTCCCTGAGGTGTTTGAACCAACACCTGTGTCTCAAATAACGATAGCTCAAACTTCAAAGGATGAACATCAGCAGTCTTATTTCCCATTGCGTATGTCACTACCGGAACATTAGAACTACCCTGCGCAATAAAATAAGAAGCATTTGGATCATCAATGTTCACAACCTTTCGATGCCTTTCAGGATCAACCATCTTGGCAAAAAGCTTCGCTTTGCTTTCCCTATATTCCTCCTCGGTCCCATGGAAGTCAAGGTGGTCTCTTGTAAGGTTTGTAAAAACAGCAATGTCGAAATCTATCTCATCACACCTACCAAGTGCCATACCATGAGAAGAAGCCTCCATCACAACTGCCTCAGTCCCATTATGAACCATCTTGGCCATTAATCTCTGGACTGAAACAGCATCAGGCGTAGTATTAGCTGCTTCTAACTTATGATCTCCATGAACGTAATATCCCAAAGTACCTAACATCCCTGTTCTCAACCCCATAGCTTCATACATTGCCTTAATCAAATGGGTAGTCGTTGTTTTCCCATTAGTCCCAGTAACCCCGATAACTGATAAACTCTTCGAGGGGTGCTTATAAAATGAAGCAGCAAGCAAAGGCAACACCAAATTAGTATTCTCCACAATCACGAGCGCCTTACATCCCAATGTCTCATCGATATTAATCTCCTTATTGGCCACCACGGCCACTGCTCCTCTCTTATCAGCCTCAGTCAAATAAGCATGCCCATCAGTCTTACTCCCCTCGCAACAAACAAACAAATCTCCAGCGCTCACTTCCCTTGAATCATGCTGAATCCCAGTGATCACCACCTCCAAGTCGCCAAAAACAGACGCGGGCACAACCCGGCTCTCATCCAAGAGCTCAGCAAGCGTCATCCTAAACATAGGCTCTGCAATCCTAGCTCTGGAACTCTCCAACCCATCAAGATTTATGTCAAACGAAGACGCATTCACAGACCCGTTCGAGTCCAAATGACTGATTACCTCGTCCTCGCTGCGCTCATCCTCGGAGATGACAGTCAACCCGTGGAGCTCCTTAATCTCTTCAAGATCCACGACTTCCTCCGCCGACAGCTCGTCGACGGTGTCCAAAGCTGGGTCCTTTTTAGGCTGGTTGGGCTTGAGGAGGCCCCGGGAGACGAATTCCTGGCGCTTGAGGGCAATGGCGGTGTCAATGTCGCCGAAGAGGTCGTCGCCGGAGGACGCTTTGGGAGCGTGGGGGTCTTGAGGGGGGTCGGATTCTAGGCCTAGGGCAGATATGAAGAGGGACTGGTCCTGCTTGAATTGGGCCTCCTGGGCCTTTTTGGCTCGGGCGACGTGGCGCTCGAACTGCTGGAGCTTGGAGACGCCGTGGGAGGAGTCCTCGGGAGCTTCAGGGGGGTCTTCGTCGGAGGGTGAGGGGTTGTGTTTGTGAGCGCCGGCGCCGGCGGCGGGGGGGGGGGGGAGAGTTGACAGGGGTCTGAAGGAGAGAGAGGGAATGGAGAGAAACATGTTTTAGACAGAGGAAGATAGAGAGAGATACTAGGGTTTAGGGCTAGGGTTTTTGCGACAGGATGAGGTTGGGAGTGAGCACTGGGGTCAAGGGGAGGGGAAAAAAACAGAGATGAAACCGAGCGAGCACTGAAATTATCCCGGGGAGTCATCATGGAGGAAGAGATAAAAAGGAGATCCAAACTGTGGGACCCATAAATATGACCGTTGACGAGTCACCATTGTTATCGCTTAAGAATTATATATATATAAAAATATGAGACTAGCTTATTCATTATATAATAGGAGGGACACTTCACATACCCTTTATTGATTCTATATTTTAAGTCCTTGTAGCAAAACTCTTCTCTTATATTTTATTGTGCGCGTAAAAAAGAGGAGGGTGAAGTCGTTGATGGGTCATGAATTTTTTTTAAAAAGTTAAAAAATGATGCTCACATTTTACCTTTCATTTAGTGTGGTCATTACTGTTCATTAATTATTTGCACTTGACTTGCACTTGACTAGAAATTTATGATGGACGCTCATCCTGCTTTCTACCAAAGCTTCTTAAGTGATGAGAAAAAGAAAATGAAATGAAGAGTCAACAAGTACTTCTGACTTATACTAATTTTTAGAGTTTTTTTTTTTTTCCTTTCATTTCTTAATAAGTGCTCACGAGTACCTGTTAGAAAAAATATTTTTCTAAAGGGTCATTCTAGTTGTACTATGATCACATATTAACTACGGACAAAGCAACTCTTCCAAGCTAGGGAGCAGGACCAAGCGCCCATAGAGACGCTTCTATTGCTAATTTTCTTACATAAAAGACAAAAACGTACTTGCACAAAATCTTTAGGTACATGAATGGAAAAGGAAATAGTAGTTGATCATTATATTTATACAAGTTTACGGACGTTTAATGTTTCAATGAACCTCTTCCCTTTCTTTCTCCCTTCTTTAAATCAAGATATGGACATGAGCAACACATTTCTTATTTTATATATTTTTTTGTTTTTTGTTTTTGTTTCTATGAAATGCATTATTTTGGAAGTTTGTGCACTAGTGACTCATGCCCCAATTGTTTCCTTTATTGTTACATGCGAAGAAATGGCGAGCACACCAACAAAGACCGTAGGAAATGACGAAAGAACAAGTTTGGGTGATGTGCGGTCGATCGCGTGTGGCGCGGCGGTCGACTGCCAACGTGCACGAGGCTGAGTTTTGTTCTGTATCAGGTCACAGTCGACCTCGCGTGGCGCGGCGGTCGACCGTCAAAAGTCCAGAGACACTGGAAAGTTTCTGTCGTTTTTGTGGTCGACCGTGCGTGGTTCTACGGTCGACCGCGAGTCGGGTCTGCAGTTGAGTTTGGTTTTCTGACCCGTTTCATTCTGAGTTGATATATAATCTTAATCCTAATTAATTAGAGTTAAACAAGAACATGTTGAGCAGTCTTTAAGAGGGGATTGCTGCATCCAATTGTAGGAGAGTTGTGAGAGATCTAGAGGCTTTGTTTTAGAGTTTATTTGGTGAGATTTGTAACCCTATTTATATTCTCTTGAGTTCTAATAGTAAGAACTCCCCCCTCCTTGCCCCGTGGACGTAGGTAACTTACCGAACCACATAAACTTCGCTTGTCTTGCTGTGATATTGTGTTTGGCTTATTGGTTGTGATTTATCTCGTTCTTGTTCGTGTGGTTTCGAGCTTCCGTCGCGCACAACAAGTGGTATCAGAGCTTTAGGTTTGGCTTGGGGCTTGTTCGAAGGATTCGCTGAAGGATTCCTATTTGAAGAGTTAGATCGACAACATGGGAGAAACAAGCACATCAAGTTCGTCTCTTACGAAGGCGATACAGAGTCTGAGCATCAATAATACGAAGATTGATGTTCCGAAGTTCGACGACAAGATTAATTTCGATTTATGAAGGTGCCAGGTGATGGATGTATTGGATGCACAGAATTTGGAGGAGACTCTTGAGTTACAAAAGAAACCCGCTGACATGGAGGACAAGGTTTGGAAGAAGATGAATAGTAGGGCTTGTGGAGTTATTCGGTCATGCTTGACCCTGGATCTTATTTAGGACGTGATGAATGAGACGTCGGCGAAGAAAATATGGGAAACACTCAATGAGAAGTATCTTACGAAGAGCATTGAGAATCAGCTTCACTTGAAGAAGTAGTTTTACTAGTTTAAGATGAAGAGGGGAGTTTCCATTAGAGAGCATGTAAACAATTTTACGAAGCTACTTTCAGATATGACCAATGTGGACATCATGGTTGAGGATGAAGACGAGGTGATGCTACTTTTGTGTTCGTTGCCCGATGATGATTATGGTACGCTCGTTCTCACTATGATCAATAGAAGAGCTACTGTTAGCTATAAGAAGGTGACCTCAGCGTTGGTGAATTATGAACTGAGGAAGAGTGATGGCGAACCCTCCGAGAAGGCATCGGGAGATGTATTAGCAGTTCGAGGCCGTAGTCCAAACCATTGCCATGTCAACCGCTCAAAATCGAAGAATAGAGGTGCCTATAAGAGTGTTGGTAGAAATCAATATCGGTATCATAAAGAAGAAGGACATTAGAAGATTGACTGCCCAAAATAGAAGGAAAAAACCGGGAAGAACAAGGGGAAAACTATACAAGCTTCAGAAGTGAATGTTGCAAAAGGTGTTGGCGAACATTCAGATTTAGATTCTTCGAGCTATTTGTGCCCTGCACTACCGTCATTTGCTATGCCGACTCTACGGAGTGGATGTTGGATTCGGGTGTCATATATCATATTTGCCCTAGGAGGGTTCTCCAACTTTGATGAGCTAGAACGAGGGGATGTCGTGCTTATGGATAATGATCATGTATGCCCTATTGGTGGTATTGGTTCAGTCCAGATCAGGATGCATGACGGTGTGGTGAGGGAGTTGAAACAAGTGAGGTTCGTGTCGCAGTTGACGAAGAATATCATTTCTTTTGGTACTTTGGAGGCAGTTGATTATCGGATGACCTTAGAGGATGCTACCATGAAGTTCACGAAGGATTCTTTGGTGGTGATGCGAGGAGTTAGGGAAAACTTCCTATACTACTTGAAGGGTAAGACAATTACAGGGGGGTCTGACAACTTCTATAACTACTATCACTTTATGGCACACGAGATTAGGATACACATGTGATAAGTCCCTACAGTCATTAGCGAAACATGGGCTATTGAAAGGTGCTAAGATCTGCAAGATGGAGTTGTGTGAGCATTGTATATTTGGGAAGAAGACTAGGGTTAAGTTTGGCACCGCTATTCATAGTTTGGGGTCTTTCCAAGAACACATCACTTGGTGGGGCCATCTATTTTGTTACTTTCATTGATGACTATTTCAGGAGGAATTGGGTATACCCTATGAAGCATAAACATAAGGTCCTGTATATTTTTGCAGTGTGAAAGAAGAAAGTAGAGCTGCAGACAGGTAGAAAGGTGAAGACTCTACGTTCAGATAATGGTGGAGAGTATAAGAGTAGTTTGTTTCTGCAGTTTTGCCGGGATCAAGGTATTAGGTGATACTTCACAGTTCGAGAGACACCACAACAGAACGAGGTGGCTGAGAGATTAAACCGTACCTTACTGGAGAAGGTGTGATGTATGATGACGCGGAGTGGATTGCCTAGATCCTTTTGGGCTGAGGCATTGGTTTATGCTAGCCATCTCGTAAATAGGTTGTCGTGCACTGCGATACAGGAAAAGACTCCTTTGGAGCATTGGTCTGGTTCGATAGCTAGTGACTATGAGTCACTTCGGATATTCGGGTGTCCTGCTTATTACCATGTTAGTGATGGTAAATTGAATCCAATGGCGAGAAAGACAGTCTTTATGGGATTTAGAGATGGAGTTAAAGGCTTCAAGTTATGGGATCCACAGGACAAGAAGATAGTTATATTTGATGAGGCGTACATGATGATACCTCAAGTTTCTCGACAGGTGGAGGAAGACCAGATTTGAGAGATATCACAGTAGGTGGAGGATGATGTGGCTTCACCCACTCTAGATAGCATTGTATCCATTAAGGCTCCTACAGAGGTGACACTAGGAGGAGATGGGATGACAGCCGGGCAGATAGAGGATACAGTAGATTATGAGACTCAGGAGCAGGGTTATGTTCAGGAGTCTATTGCAGCGAATAGACCTAGAAGGGTGATTCGTCAGCCAGCTAGATATAATGATGTCATGGTCGCATATGCATTATCAGTGGAGGTTATTGATGATATGGTTCCATCCATATTCAGGGAGGCAAAGTCTAGCCCCGATTTGATCAGGTGGAAGGAAGCTGAGGAGGAGGTGCGATCTCTTCAGAAGAACAACATTTGGGAACTTGCAAAGCTACCTAAGGGTAAGAAAGCTATTGGTTGTAAGTATGTATATGCGAAGAAGGAGGGATCTTCTATTGGGGACATTAGGTACAAAGCCAAATTGGTTGTCAAGGGATATGTACAGCTTGAGGGCGTTGATTACAACGAGGTATTTTCACCCGTTGTGAAGCATTCGTTGATTCAGATTTTATTAGCATTGGTGGCACAACTGGATTTGGATTTAGTCCAGATAGATGTTAAGACAGCTTTTCTACATGGAGATTTAGATGAGGAGATCTACATGACACAACCCTTGGGATTCAAAGCTGCAGAAAAGGAAGATTTAGTTTACAAGCTGAAAAAGTCTCTTTATGAATTGAAGCAATCATCGTGACAGTGGTACAAGAGATTCAACAGCTTCATGATTGGCCATGGGTACACGAGAAGCCCATATGACCCATGTGTTTATATGCACAAGCTACAAGATGGTGAATACATATATTTACTTTTATATATTGACGATATACTTATTGCTTCCAGGAATTCTTCGGCTATTCGAAAGTTGAAAGAGGAGCTGTCATCCGAATTCGAGATAAAGAATCTTGGAGAAACAAAGAAGATGTTGGGTATGGAGATTGAGAGAGACAGGGTGATATGGAGATTGAAGCAATCGAGATGAAGCTTGCACACCTGCGGTGAAGAAATAAGGAGATCTTTCTATATCGCCGATCAAACGTCGCTTGCGATGGGTTGCCTGAAGTAGATTCTCATTTTTAAATAGTAAAAATGGATGATCCACATCTTCGGGTCAGGCGCCCGAACTTGTGATCAC